GGGAAGTTTTCTTGGATAATTTCATGGAATGTTTGTTCCAGGGTGGTCTTGATCTCTCTATCTGCCTCACGGATTCCAATTAATCTTAGGTTCAGCCTCTTGAAATAATCACTCATCTCTTGGAGGTTTTGTTCTGTCTTTTTAAGCTTCTTTTCTATGTTTTTAACAGCTTGGGTTTGTTCCATATTTTGGTCCTCAAGCTCTGAGATTCTTTCTTTTGTTTGGTTAATTCTGCCTTCCATGCTTATCAATTTGTTGTTTATTTCATTCACTGTATTCTTTATTCCTGTTATCTCAGTTATCAACTCCTTCATTCTTTCTTCTTGTCTCTTCTCATTTCTATTTATTCTCTCTATTTATATCTTGATATCTGGGTTTGTGGTTTGAGACCAGTCATTCTGGGAGCTCTTCATTGTGTGAGTTCTGAGTCTGTATTCTCGGTGGCTGACCGCCCAGGGGTCTGTATGAGACTCTTATTCTTCCTTCGGTTTTTCTTCATTTGTGTAGGGTCCCCACCCCACCCCCAGCCCTTTAACCTCTTCTTTAATTCTGTTGTTCAGTGATGGAGAATAGATTGTATTTCTGTTTGCTCAATCTCCTATTCTTCCTTATGTAGATCCTCTGATTTTGTTTAATTCTGAAGCTGGACTGGGGTTGGGTCCTATGCTTTTTGCAGTTTTGAGACTTAATTGGGGGCAGGGGGGCACTATGATTCAGAAGCTATCTGTAGATCCCAGTATCTGCCGCTGACAGGTGTATGGGCCCCCTGGAACCTACTTCCCACTGCCTTACAATCTTTCCATGCAGTGAGGTTGTCTGTTTGCCCCCTGAAAGCAAAATGGAGTTAAGAAAAGGGAAAAGAATGGAAAAAGGAAAGAGGAAGATGAAAGGGAGGTGGAGAGAAGAAGAAGAGGGAAAACAGACAGGCATACCAACTAACTAATAAACAGAGAGACAAAGATAGAAATGACAAAAGCATACGGACAATCATACAGGCGTTAGTTGGTACAGGCATACCAACCAACGAATAAACAGAAAGACAAAGATAGAAACAACAAAAAAGACAAAAACATCCAGACAATCATACAAATAAACAAAAACCTCCCTGTTGGTGTACTCCCCCTCAAAAATTCCCATACATAAACAGAAAATCTAAAATAAAAATAAATTAAAAATAACAGAAGCAAAGCAAGTACAAAAATGTAAACAAAAACAGAAAGAAGGAGAGAAAGGAAACAAAGCTAAAACTAAAACAAAAAATAAACAAAAAAACAACTCACTCTCTGGCAGTTTCTGTGGCTCCAGTTTCCTTTGAAGTCTCTACCTTAGAGAGTAGCTCTGATCTCCAGCCCCTCCCCTCCGCTCTCAGTACAGGCTGATAGGGTTGCCCTCAGCATGGGTCAGATGCCCCACAGACTACTGTGGTAGGAGGATGGATCAGATTCGGACTCACTCTCCTTGCTGCTACTGCTCTCAGGTCTCCCACTCAGATCTGATGTGTCCGTGCCTGTTCCAGCCTGGGGGAGGGATATCTGTCTCTCTGAGTTGGATAAGATAATAGCTTCTGGGTCCAAAGATAGAGGCTGTGTGGAGCTGGGTGAGGCAATGCAAGTCTCTGCGTCCCCGTCACCCACATTGGAGCTTTATTCCAGACTTCCATGACCTGCCTTCTCGTGTCAGGTATGCTGCTTCAGGTGATGGCGTGGGTCGAGTGCCAGGTGGTGAGGGGTGGCTGTTCTCTGCTGCCTCCTCTCAAAAGCCCCCCAAGAATGGCAGGCGATCCTGTGCACCTGGTTCTCCAATCTCAGCGCAGTGTTGGGTTGCAGTCACCTCCAGAGAAGAGCCCTAGGTACATGCACCCAAGTCTCCCCTCAGAGGGACTTTCACTCACTCACTGGCATACACCCATTCACACAGAGAGTCTTTATGGGCACTCGCTTTTGCAGAGACTCTCACGGTCCGACCTGTTCCGTCGCCATCTTGCCCAGAAGTCTCCCTGCCATTTTTTTTTTTTTTGAATTGGAATCTCACTCTGTCACCCAGGCAAAGTGCAGTGGCACACTCACGGCCACCCCAGCATCGACCTGCTGGGCTCTGGCAATCCTTCCACCTCAGCCTTACAAGTAGCTGGAACTACAGGCGCATGCTACACACCCAGATAATTTTTGATTTATTGTAGAGATGAGATCTCGCCAAGTTGCCTGGGCTGGTCTCGAACCTGTGGGCTCAGACAATCCACTCGCCTCGGCCTCCCAAAGTGCTGGGGTTACAAGCTGAGTCACTGAGCCCAGCCCTCCCTGCCATTTTTATCCAGTGTGAAGGTGACCAAGAGGTCCCTTTTTGTCACTTGAAGCATCTTGGGTTGTATTTTACAAGTCAACTGTGGCTACCTCCACATTTCAATGTGAACAGTTTATAAGGAGCACTTGGTGCAGGCATGAGAAAGAATACGGGAAGGCTCGTTTTAAAGCACCACTGTGGGGTATTGGTCAAGAGCATGTGCTTCAGAGGCAAGTGGAGGCTTGGGTTCCAATCCAGACTCACCACTGACTGAGTCCTACAAATGGTTTTAGCCAAGTGAATGAATTATTTTCTTTTAATCAGGGTTTTGCTCTGTTTCCCAGGCTGGACCTCCTGGGCTAAGGAGATCCTTCCATGTAGCATCCCAAGTAGCTGGGACTATAGGCATGCACCACTTTGCCCAGCTAATTTTTATTTTTTAAAATGTTTTTGTAGAGGTAAGGTCTTGCTATGTTGCCCAAGCTGGTTTCAAACTCCCGACTCAAGCAGTCTAATCTGCCTCAGCTTCCCAATGTCCTGAGATTCCAGGAGTGAGTCATCAGGCCCAGCCCCAAGTTAACTAACTTCTGTGCCTCTGTTTCCTAATGGAAAGAGGAAAGTGTGGTGGATGAGATTACCGGAGGCTGGGAAAAGACAGAGCTTTGAGATGAACTCTGCCTCCTTGGGCAAGTTGCTTAACCTCTCTGTTCCTTGGAGTCCACATGTGTAAAGGGAGGATAATAATACAACACATACCACATAGTTTTGTCAGGTTCAGTGAGATAATGCAAATTAGGCAGGTTTTTAGCATGGACTCTGCCTCATACTAAGGACTCGGGAAAGATTAGTTGGCCGTTTGTGTTCACGGTAGTGCCGTAGTTACCTCCATTGTTGATGGTATTATTGCTACTATTTCTACTACCACCACTTCTACTGGGTTCATCTTACTACCTCCAGATGCTGATAAGTGTCAGGTCAAGGAAGAAAGCAGCCTCCACTGAAGAACTCAGACAGGGTTCCTGAAGGTAGATAGTCAGGGACACCAGCAGATCCACTTCATTTCTGAGAAAAATGGCTGTGTTGTCCTGAAACATCAGAAAAAATGAAACTGTGTGTCTCTTCGCCACACCTTTGAACGGTGCCCCGACAGTGTCCCTCAGCGTCCACAGAAGCGTTAAGCCTTATCTTTCATTTCCAAGAGGCAGCCACATACGGATGATCGGATCTCGTTAAGAAACAGTCATCAGCTTGAACAGTGTTGTGATTGCATCTCGAAGCCATCAACTGGTGAAAAGGGAGCTCGGATCAGAAGGTCTGAGCAAAATATTGAAAGCGAGATTACGAAGAATAGTGTCTGTGGAAGGGTCAGGGACATGAAAGCAAAGTGGACTCAACAAATGGAGTGCAAATGGAAAGTAATTGATCAAGGCTATGCAGAATTTTAAGACTTGAGGAAAAGAAGAAAAGAAAAGCTCTAAGTACCTAGATGAAGAAAAACCACAGATAGTAATTCCAGAGTTTTCTGTGAACTCAAAGGGAATATTAATTAAGATGGTGTAAGTCAATTCAGGTAAAAGCAGAATTGCTCCAAAGCCTTATATATGCGCAGATATATACATATTCATGTCTCTGTGTGTAGGTGGGTGTGTGCAGCTATCGTTGGAATATAAAGAGAGGTAGGGGAATGATTCTGGTGCTCTGATCTATCCTGCTGAAAGGAATTGAAATTTTGCCATTAAGGTGATTTCCGCATTATTTTAGTACAGCAGTGCTGAGAAAATCCCCCAAATAAAATAAAGACAGTTTTTTCCATTTCCAGGCCAATGGAAAGTGATTGGAGTTTTGGATGACTATCAAATCATTTCCCAACTATATTTAGTTATGTATACAATGAAGGGGTGGATGCAGGTCCACATGTCTGTACATGCATATAGATGAACTTTGGCTTCCAGGAAATAGTATGATCTTTTCAAAAACACATTCTAGAATTTACACATTCCAGTGAGTCGGAATGGCCACCTTGGAAAGCAGCATAATTATTCTAATGATGCTTCAATTACCAAAAACTCTTTTAAAATATCTAATTTTTATTCTTTCCACAAGTTATTACAAGTCATGAAAAAAAGAAAAGCATATATTCCATCAGATATACTTATTGAGCACCTATCACGTACCAGGCATTGTGTTAGAGATAAAGAACATAGATGCCAGGGAGACAAAGGCAAATCTTAGTATTTATTGCTTCAAAGCAATGTAACCAAGCATGTCCACCCAGCTTATTTGTTAGAATTGGTTGTTTCCAAAAATCAGATTCCCCCACCCTCAGAGAATCAAGGTGTAATATGACTAAGGGTTTTCAGAATTCATTATCATATTTAGCAATGAACATTTCCCAAATAGAAATTCCCTGAGATGTTTTGGACAGTGGTGGAATAATTGATTAGCTTCCCAGGGGAGTTACTTTTGGGGGAAGATTCATTTAAATGACATTTTATAATTTAAAAAAATTATTCACTTTTCTTTCTCTTTGCATATGTGCTTTCAATAGAGTACACATTATTTACTCACATACATATAAATGTTCCATTTTTAGCATTTGTTGTAAATTTCAAAACTTTTCTCTCTGTTACTACGGTAGTGAGTTTCCCAGGTAGCCACCTCACAACCCTGACAGCTGACTAGATGCTCATTAATCTTTACAATTTTCTCCCCTTGTCCAGAATCCTAGGGAATCGAGTGGCTGAGCTGGAGAAAAAATTAAGAACTCTCGAAGTTTCTGGCTTGTGGAGTCTTCCAGGTAAGCAAAACTTTATGAAAACTATTTTTCTCTTACATGATTTGCAAAGACCTTACCTTTTTAACATCCTTTTATTTGGAGATCATTACTGAAAAAATCTACAAGTGTTTTAAACTTAGAATCCATCATTTTGGGTATAGGGAGGGTAGAATCAGAAAAATGCAATAAATATTCAGTTCTCACTTGTGGGACTGTGAAGTTTTACTCACTTGAATTCCGAAGTTGTCACTGAGTCTGTGTAATTTTTTTATAAACTTTTGCAAATGTAGTGGATTGTTTCTGTTTTTAATCTGTAGGTATCTTATAAAGATTTATTCAATGTAATCATCACTCCTAAATATGAATGTTAAGAATATACAAGGATTTGTTCAACTTAATCATCAGCCCTAAAAGTAAATATAAGAGCTTACAAAGATTTGTGCAATTAAATCATCAGTCCTGAAATTGAATGTAAGAACATACAGAGATTTGTTCAATTTAATCACCAGTCATAAAAATTAATTTAAGATCCTACAATTTTTCTAACCCAAATATACTTCACAACCACCTTCGCCTCCTTTCTCCCATTTCCCTTTTCCATAGCTTAAAAATCAAAATTTCCTGGATAGATTTTTCCCCCCAGTTACACACCATGTTAGGAAGCTCTGACGTCTTACTTTAATTAGCTATATTTATCTTGTTTGTCTTGGTAAAATATCCCTTTCAAGAGACCCTGGACAGCCAGTCCCCCTTGTCTTTTTACTCCTCAGAAACGTATATTTATCATTTTCTGCCACCTCCTCTTTCCCTGGAAGCCATGTTGTACATATATTTTTAGTTACTTAGGCTTTCTGCACAAACCAGTCTCCCTTACCCTGGAATCATTTGAGCTGCTACCCTGGAATGGATGATAAATAAAATTACCACAGGGCGGTAGGCAACAACAAGGAATTTTTCTTAAGTGTAAATCCGAACAGCGGTCTTAGTTTGCCTGGATGTGTGTTTCATAAATTGGAATTTTTCACAGAGATTTCTTGAACTTGATGTCAAAAGATCTAAGCAGAACTAATTAGTGGCAAGTGCCATCCTGGGGATTTGAGTGATCATTTTGCATGGGAACCTTTTTATGCTGCTGAAAACTCCATCTTCTATTGAAGGCCTTTCTTTTATTGCATTGAGTTTCAACAGAGTTGGGAAAACTTACCATTTATCTGTACAGTCAGAATGCTATTTTAATTCATGTACCAGGATTTTGATTTTTTTAAATTTCTGCAAAATAACTTGGTGAAATCTCTCACCGTTTCTTTTCTACAGTTTATGTAAAAAATGGAAGTTGAATAAGGGAACCAATGAGAATTTTCTGTCTCTGGTTTTGTTTGGTCTAGGTGAGACTTCAAATGTCTGTTGTGCAATAACGATTGTTTCTTTTCTTCTTTTTGCTGCCTGAAGGCCTGAGCTACAATGTTTCAGTGGGATTTGGGAGTATGTTATATTTGAAATATCTGTTTTTGTGGTTTATATCAACAGTACCTTATATCATCCCTGCATGTCAATAAATAGAAATGTATTATCTACCTTTTCCTGCACTTTTCCGATTACAATAGTCCACTGAATAGAGAATTCAATTAGCACAGAACAAATATTAAATGATGAAATTAGCTTTGCAGGACCTGACTAAATGGGTTTTGTGCTATGGTCCTATTTGTTCTAATCTGTGGCCTCCACATAGATACAAAGTGGGTGGGAGAAAGGAGGAAGAGTGACAGCTCCCCAGATCTGGTACAGGTTACATAATGCCATAGCATCACCCTTGTGCAGTGAAGGACATTAACGGTGGATGAAGCATCAGGCTGTGATATTTTCAAACTGTGGTGAGAGTAATGGGGGAAAGAGCCTCTTCCAGTGTAAATCAGATCAGTCCCTCTGTCTGCACATTGTTGTATGTATCTCCATTCAGCCTACTGGATAATGGAGTAAAAGGCAATATATTCTTTCCTTCCTCTGCCTCCATTTCTTCCTCCTTCTCTTCCTCCTTTTATTTCTCCCCCCAAGAAGGAGCTGAGTCTTAGTGTTTAGCCAGCAGGAGGGGGTTGGGTTCCAGAGACATCAGAGAATTGCTGTCTCTTATTTACCAGCATTTTGGAATCACCTGTGTCTCCTTTAATAAATCAGCCCATTGATGTGTTGACAGCCTTTTGAGAACTGACTTTGTGGATACAGTGCTGGCACCAGGCATTCTAGGCATGCCCCTCCCCACCTCCCCAAGAACCTACAATCCAATTTGTGAAGCAAGATGAACACACACCAAGCAGTGAGAGTGAAGTACAAAATGGTCCATAATTCTGTGCTAAATGAGTGATAAAGGTGTTAGTATGTGCAGGAATGATGTGAGGAATCATCAAATGCTCGACCTAGAAGGACAGCTGAGAGCAAAAGCTCAAGGTTGGCAAGAATTTGATGTGTGTTTCGCAGCACCCATTCCCACACCAGTGGTGGACATTGTGAGTTAACCACATCGCTCTTCCTTGCTGATTTCAGACGTGGCCCTCAGAATAGTCTTCTACTTTGCCTTTCCAGGAAGCTACCTCTTGTCAGAGCTAACATATGGAGGAAACATTATTCCCCTCCTGTTCTAGTCTGGTCCCCTTATTTTAATTAAGGAAACAGAGGCCTGGGAAGTTAGAGGACACCTGAGTTCATAGAGGCTGATATTAGAACTCAGGCCTTCAGATTTTCATTTCAGTGTTCTTCTGCTGGTATCGGGTAACTACAATTCAGAGAAGAGAGGAATGGAGTAGACTAGACTGGAGAGGAAGCATTCAGAAGCCAGAACAATCTCTTCTGAGACTCTACAAGGCAATGGCAGAGGAGTTCACCCTCATTATGGCAGAATGCCTGTTGGACTTGGAGTATGCTGTGATGTTTCCCTTGATGACTCCCCTTGCCTCCTCCCTCCTCACTCTCTCAGCCAACAGCATAGAGCTTTTGATGTAGTTTGCTAGAGTTGTGGTGCATTTGCGATCATGCTGAGCAATAGACATTGACAAATGTCGCAGCCTGCATAGAGAAATCATCTAGCTAGCAAAGCACATACATCCCAAACGGTTTAACCTACCCCCTTCATACTCTCTCTGCCTGTCTGCCTCCTTCTCTCAGCCCTTTGTCTGCCTCTGCAGGGAGAAGGGTGCTTGGGTGACTTTGGGGGGATATGTCTTGGATCTGTTTGTGCTCTAGAAAGGAACACAAGAGCCAGAAAACATCTAGCAAGAGTAGAGTCCGGCTTTTTGAGCTTTGCATCTTCATTCTCTCTCCACTCCAGGGATCAGCCTGAGGAGAAAACGGTTTGTTTTGGAGATGGGGGTGAGGGATTTTGTGCCATAAGGAATCAGGAGAGCTTCTAGAAACTTAGACACCCGTTGAACATAAAGGCCTGTGTGACTTTCCACATTAGTTTCTACTTTGGTTTGTAGACCACCCTCACCCCCTCCTTACCCTCTAGTCCTAAGAACTGGCATGGAAGTATGAGACAGCAGACCAACAGATTAGAGCTCATGGATGAAATTGATAGAATCTGAACTTAGAGGAAGGGTTTTTTAATCCTTCAAACATTTTGCAAGAATGACTAAATCTTGGCTTTTGACCTTCAGATCAGGAAATGATCTCTCTAGGGTAGGAGTTTAGGGAGATAATTACCTTCTCCCCAGAAGGGTGGCTTGCTTCCCTTCTCTACACTCTTGTTGTTGGGATTTTTATAAAGGTTTAATGTTGCTGGTACCAGCGTTTTCAAGGGACCATTGTAGAATGGGTAATGAGCCTGTGATTGGGTAGGGCCAAGGAGACATTCTACCCTAAAGAATTCCTTGTGTCAGGGAGGGCTAAAGGGCTCCCTCCAGCTGCCTTAGTCGCTCCGTTGCAGCCAGCACCCACCTCTGCCCATAATTCTGACTTTTTGTCCACCATGATTGGAGCCTAGAGGGGCAGAATGTGTCTTTTATTGAGTCCCCTAGAGACTAGAGCTGCTGGCCCATCTACTAGAGAAAGACGGTCAAGAAATGCCATCTGATTCCTGACCTGAGGAGAGTAAATGTTGCCTCGATGAAGAGAAACAAAAGTCTAACTTGAGGACTTCAATTCATGGAAACCAAAGCCTGGACCATCATTCATCCATCCAGTAGTTGTTTCCAAATTATATCTTTGCAGCACACAGGGAGGCCTGGTTGTGTTAGCTTTGTTCTAAGAGCCTCTTAACAGTACCGTGAACTGTAGAGCAACTGTTCTCTTTGGGAAACATCTCTGGACTATGGCCTTGATAATTTTTGGATTTTTTTCCACATGAGACAATAGCTGTGCTGGTGTAGAACTTGAGGGCCAGCTCCTGTCAGGTTCTGCTATTCTAGGATGACTTTCGCATAGCACCGGAGGCTGTGGCTGCTAATAACACACGCCATCTGCATGAGGCAGCAGCAGATACCCATGTCCACCAGGCGTCAGGATTCCCAAGAATGTGCCAGCCATGTATTCAGACATTTATTTTTATCTATCTATCTATCTATCTATCTATCTATCTATCTATCTATCTATCTATCTATCTATTTATTTTTGAGTCAGAGTCACTCAGTCACCCAAGCTTGAGTGCAGTGGCACAATCACTGCTCCCTGCAGCCTTGACCTCCTTGGCTCAGCTGATCCTTTTGCCTCATCCTCCCAAGTAGCTAGGACCACAGGTGTGTGCCACCACACCCAGCTAATTTTTTTGTAGAGGTGAGGTCTCACTATGTTGTCCAGGCTGATCTCAAACTCCTCGGTTCAAGCAGCCCTCTGACCTCAGCCTCCCAAAGTACTAGGCTTACAGGCATGAGTCACTGCATCTTATTTCATTTCTTCAGACATGTACTAGCCACCTACCTTGTGCCAAACTCTTTACCACGGTCTTGGAAATCAAGTTAATAAGGCAAGCCTAATGGGAAGACTATTATAAACAACTAGGGAGGACCCAGGTTACAGTGATGGAATTAAGACCAAGGTTCACCTGATTCTCCAAAGAAGGAGTAGGTGTCTTTACAAAATGCCATTCTGTGCTCTGCAGAACCTGAAACAGAGTGAAATAATAGAATCTTAGAGACCCTCATTTGAACCCCAGAGAAATTTAGTGACTTGGCATCATGCAGCTTTAGAGAGGGTCTTGCTCAAAGTCAGGAATGGAGCAGGGACTGGGCTTGTTTTTGGCATGAAGGCACTACCAGGAGAATTCCAAGACCTCATGGACCATGTTTGGGATTCAGTCCTGCCTCGTGGGCTCTACTGACTGCTGGGGATAGCATGGCTGCCTGTCTACATGTTATGTGTCTGTGTCCATCATGCTTCTGTTCCTAAGCCACACTCCCTGTCCCTCACCTCCATACTTGCCACAGCCTCTAAAATATCTTTATCATGGTCTTCCTTTCTTCCTCCTGTGTGCCTCAAACTTTCTCTGACCTCCTAGGGAGTTCCTATAAATATAAGGGTTTGACTGGCATGGGACTATATGTTATAAGTGAAATGTAGCTAAGTTGGAGAACTTGATGTTACCTGCCTTATGATAGTGTGACTCAACCTAAGTGAGAATGAAATTAGATTTAGTGGGAACAGCAGTGCACCTGACACTGTCAAGTCACTGTTTCAATAGGTGGCATATATTGAGTGCCGACTAAACGCCTAGTTCATCTCATCCTCACAACCACCCAGCAAGGGAGATGCTGTTATTCTTCCTCATGTTATAGGTGAGAGCCCAGAGAGGTCCAGTGATGTGCCTGAGGCCATCCCCCTAGCAAGGGATGATGTCTAGAACACAAACACTGCAGTATAGCTTCAAAGCATACACTCCTACATATTCTGCTGCTGTTATCATTGTTCTCATCTCATCCACATCAAAGCTATGTGATTTTCAACCATGTTTTCATAACAGGCTTCCTTTTAACGGTAGCATTTGTGGGCAGCCAACCCTGACGGACCCAGGCAGGAGTCAAGGTGTTTAATCATAGATAGCAGGCCCTGGACCTCATTGCTGTGTCCTCACACTGCACAAGGGCCTAGGGGTCCTTTCCCTTCCACAGCATTACCTACGATGGAAGGTTCCTTGCTGATCCAAACACCCCTTTAATTGTGTGGTAGTAATGTAACTCAACTCCACCGATGAGGTAACATGTCTATATCCCCCTTTTCCACCGCAGGGGGCAAGGACACCATCCTGTTCAGTGACCCCACTCTTCCCACCATACAGAGGTCAAGATCTCCACTGCTGAAGTTTGTTGAGCAGCCCGCTGAGAACAAAGTGAATCCCAAGGATGGTAAGCACGCCTTGATTTCTTGGTCTCTGCCTGACCAGTGCCTACCTCGGAAGAGGGGCTTAGCAAACACCAGTCCCCTCTCCCTCCCCTTCCTGCAGCTGCTGTGGGGCATTCCTCATGGGTCCTCTTGTTGCTTACATGGATGCATCTTATTGGGAGATTTTGACAGAAGAATACAAGGCACCACACTCTAGGCATGGTAGCATAGTGGTTAAGAGTGAGAACTTGGGAGTTGAACAACTTGGGGTAATATTCCAGTCCCATGTCATATTGACTATGAGAGCCTGGACGAGTGACCTCAACCTCAGTTTCCTTTCCTATAAAATGGTAACGTGATGGTGCCAATCTCAGGGAAATCTTAGCACATGGTAAGTGGTCTTGAAACCAGTAGAACAGAGAGAAATCTTTTTCTCTGCCAGATAGAGAGTTATGGAGGCAAGATGTTTTGAAGCAGATCAAAGATCCATTTGGGGGTCCAGATGAGCCAATAGGTATAAGAGCCATATCTCTTCCCACGCAGTAGTCTTGTTTCCCCAACAAAACTATCCTTCATACCTTTGGAAGTTTTGCTTGTCATCTTCCACCACCCCCAGTGTAGTAGCCAGCTTCCAAGATGCCACAGAATCCCTACCCCTTGGACTCACACCTTTGTGTAGTCCTCTCCAACATTGTGTCAGGGTTGGTCTGCATGATTTATAGAATCTCGCAGAAGTGATAGTGTGTGACTTCTGAGCTTAGGTCATAAAAGGCAGGAGACTCATGCCTTGCTCTCTCTCTTGGATCATTCACTTCGAAGGAAGCTGGCTGTCATGTCATGAGGGCACTCAAGCAGCCCTGCACGCTATTCATGTGGTGTGGAACTGAGGTCTACGGCCATCAGTCATGTGAGTGAGCTATCCAGGGAGTCGATTCTCCAGCCCCAGTTGAGCTTTCAGATACCAACTACACTGGTCAACATTTTGATGGGGCTCTTATGAGAGACCATTTGCCAGAACCACACCACTAAACGGCTTTCAGACTCTTGAGTCTTAAGGTTTTGAAGTAATTTGTTACACAGCAATACATCACTAAGATACCCAACCTGTGAGTATCAAGGTTCTTTCCTTGAAAACCCACATTTCTTCTTCGTCTTCTCATGCTTAGACGCATGCCTTTAATTGCCACCTCCATAAAAATATTCACAAAGTATTTTTCTCCTGCTGGGTTCCACCTGCAGAATTGCAGCCCCATGCTTCCCAGATCCTGGACTTCTCCCTCTGCCCTGAATATTCTATAGATTTATCAAGCATGATATCACCAACCCTGCCTGCTTCCTGCCACCTCTGGCTTGGGTCAGACCATAATTATCTTGTCAGCAGGGCTCCCCTCCTGGTTCTCCTGCCTCCTGGACTCAGTCCCATCTCCATCCTGCTACTGTAAGATAAAGCTTTTGGAGTACTGTTTGCCATCATGCTTGTACCCTGCTCAAAAATCCCAAGTGGCTCCACTAGAATTTCAGCTGTGAACCTCACCTAGCGCCTACCTTTCTAACCCTGATTATCTGACCTAAAATCTGTGCTCTCATCAGAATGAACAAACCAGCTGTATCAGTTAGCTATGACTGTGTAACAAACTGCCTCAAAACTTAGAACTTGAAGCAATAAAAATGTATTATTTTTCTCCAGCTTTTGGGTCAGAAGGGTGGGTCTGCTTATCTGAGCTGGGCCCAGCAAGTCTGGCTCATGCAACTGTACAGCTGTGTTTGGAAGCCTGTTCAAATCACTTGTCACAGTCCATGGAGTGGTAAGACTAGAAGCCAGTACTTGTCTGGGATTTCAACAGAAAGGTTCCCCAAGTACATCTGGGAGGAATTCCTGGAGAAAGAGCCCCTGCCTCTGATAGATTCCATACTGGCCAGAAAGCAAGGCTAGGTCCTTCCAGACAGTGGCATGTGTCTGCTTGCAAGACTGACCTGGAACATGCTGTGGTCATCCCAAGCTGGCATCCAGTGTCCGCATGGATATTCAAAGCCCTCCATCTGTTTGGGCCTGCAGAGCCTGGGGTGGGCCTGTTCCTGCTCTCCTGAAGTGGAGCGGGAGCCTTGATTCTCACAAGAGCAGTGGCGTAAGTCATGGGCTGATTCAGAACGATAGCTTCCAGAATCCCATCATTAGCTCTCATTGTTCCATCCCGGGTGGGAACAAGGAAGCGTTTCTGTAGCATTGTCAGCATTGGGGATGGCCTCCTTACTGCCGCATCCCTGATTAATTCCAACTGAAAGCATCATGCACTTGGGAAGACAAAGCCCATCAGACCCCCTTTAACAAAGGAAGACAAATGTCCCCTCTGGGCCAGTGGTGGGGGGACACATTTTTAGGGGATTGACAACCTTTTTTTTTTAAACAAAAGATACTGTTTCATCACCTTTTTGAGGAAATATTTTTTCTTTCCTACTGTGTCATAATGCATTTGTATCAGTTGATTGCCCTGTCATTATTGATATGTAGATTGTTGTTAATGATAAATATCAATAATTCTGTTTGCAAAAACAGCACAGAATAATTACCATAATTACCCTTTTTTTTTTGAGCTCATGCTCTTGCTGAGGCTGGTGTACAGTAGCACGATCACTGCTCACTGCAGCCTCAACTTTCTGGCCTCAGGCGATCCTTCAGCTTCACCCTCCTGAGTGACCAGGGTTACAGGCGTGAACCACCAGGCCCGGCTAATATTTTAAATTTTTTTTATAGAGAAAAAGTTTCACTATGTTGCCTAGGCTGGACTTGGACTCCTGGGCTCAAGCAGTCCTCCCGTTGTGGCCTCCCAAAGTGCTAGGATCACAGGCGTGAGCCACTGCACCCGGATAATTACTATTATTTGTAATAATATTTTCCTACTCCTGACTTGCTCAGAAATCTTTTAGGAAAATGGCAATGCTATGTGTCTGTTCTTGAAGGAAAAATAAAGCTCCTACAGCTTAAGAGTTCATGTTCTAGAATCTTTAGAATTAAAGGAGGATTTTGCTCCCACAGAAAGTAACCAGGTGTCCTAGTGATAGCTCAGTCGTTGTGACATTTTCAGTAACTCTTCTTTGTCTCCCGAAAATGACTTGAGTATACTTCTTGGATATCTTGTGAATAAACAGAAGAGAAGGCGTGGGTTGGTAAGCCCTACTGTTGGCCCGTAATCTAATCCCAGTTCCTGGCCTCTGAAAAAATCTAGCCTTTCTCAGAAGAAGTAAATGCCTGACAGGACCGAACAATAGGATGACAGCCTGTGTTCGTTCCTCTCCTTGTCATGGCTGTATTTCCAACTTTAATGAGGACAGTAGTGTTGTTCTCCCCTTCCTCCCCATGCTCAAAAAGTTAAAAAGTCCTCCCTGGTCATCTTAGAGGTTTGCCTTTTTAAAAGAGATTCATACATTTGGACGTGAGCAGAATGTCTCTACAGAAATGGCACAAGGCAAAATACCAGCAACCGCAAGGCCCCAGTGTAATTTAGACCACCCTTACTTCGACGTAAATTAAGGCAGAGAAGATTAACCTGACCCACAGTAAAAACACACCGCAGCTGGTTTAGGGGTTAGGTTGTTACGAGGAAGGTTAATTAATTTTTCAGGGGTACCAGAATATACTATTAAGTGTCCTGGAAGGAGTAATTTCCAGAAGGAGTTTATTCATCTCACGGTGGTGAAAAATTTAGCTGCAGAAAGTACCATAATTTACTCCTTTTGAATAAAGCTTCCCCACTGTGCTGGAAGCTCACTCACTTTGACTCACTGCTTCTTGTGTCCCCTATACAACCACAATAAACATTTTCATTTGTAAATGTGGAAATTATGTGCTGGCTTCTCTGAGCCCCTTAGATGTAGACAAATGTTTGTGTGAGTTAGAAATCTCTTATCTTTTTTTCCAACAAGAACCACTGCAAGAACTTTTAGGGAAATGACCTGAATACAACCTGAAATAAATACCATAAATTCAAGAATTACTTTCACATATTAATGAGCAGTATTTAAAGATATGTACTAATGTACTCATTTATTCCTGCATTCGTGTATGTGTTCATATATTCAAGCATCTAACAAGCTATTCACTGCGTCCCCACTATAGAACATTGCCGAGGTTAGAAAATTAGTAGGCAAGATTTTATACTTAAGGTGGTTATATGCCAACTGTATGTAAGTAGCAATCTGAGGTGGGCCTTGGGGGGAAATAAAAAGCACTAAGTTCTCTAGGAGGTCTAGACATAGCCTTATGGGACTCTGGACACTAGGAATATTGCTTCTGGCCAGATTTAATCAAATAGGATTTATGGATGAGGCAGGGATAGAGCTGACTCTTGAAGCTTGTTATTGTGATACATAAAGGAATGATAGCCGTGGAGGAACCAACCCCCTAAGCAAAGGCATTGAGGACAGAGGTAGGATGCTGTGAAGGGCTCACTGTGGCTGGAGCATAGGGAAAAAGAAGAGGAGATGGGATGTCAGGTAGAAAGACAGATAGATATTGGGTCATGGAAAGCCTTGAATGCCAGGTTACAAGCTTGAATTTTGTTCCTAAGGCACTGGCAGCCTTTGAATATTTTATAGCTGCAGAAAGGCTGAGATTTGTGCTGCAAGCTTGCAGTGCTGCTCAAACTGTAGCATGCACCCACATCACCTGGGATTATATTAAAATGCAGATTCTGAACCAGCAATTCTGGGATAGGGCCCCAGATCCTACATATCTAACATGTCCCCAGGTGACGCTGCCACTGCTGGTCCATGAACCCTACTTTGAGTATAGCAGAGCTTTAGGGAAGATTCCTCTCCCAAGAGGTTGGATTAGTACAGGAGGAGACTAGAATCAAAGGAACCTGTTAGGAACTAACGTACTTGATCCTGCCTGAACAGATCTGAATAGTCATTATTTTTAAAAATCAAGGCTTGCTTTATTCACTCATTTATGCACTCATGTATTTCATTGTCAGCCTAAGTAATGGTTTCCTTTGTAGGCACAATACTTAACTAAAACCAGTGA